CTTGCTGTGTAGTTCAGGCTGGCCTTGAACTCACTGCCTCAAACTCATGATGGTCCTCCTCCTCCAGCCTCCTGAGTGCTGGGATTACAGGTGTGCACCACCTCCCCTGGCAGACACAACAATTTTTAAACTACCAGTCCTTTTTGTTGGAGAAGGCAGAGATAGGCAAGGCCCATGGCTATTTCTCTGTAGTCTCTTAATCTGGTCGCCTAATTGGAGTAAAATAAACACATTAATAGGGTATGATGGCACATGCCTGTAATCCCAGCACTTGGGAGGCTGAGGCAGGAGGACTACTGGGAGTTCAAAGCCAACCTGGGCTATTAGGTCAGTTCAGGGACTAACTACAAAGCAAAACCTCGTCTCTAAAAACAAACAAACAATAAACTAATTGATTAAATCTAATTAATAAAATAATTTTATTTAATTAATTAAATTTAATTAAATGCCTGCCCTGTGAAATGCATTTCCCCTGTGAAAAGGCAGAGAACGACGTAGTCAAGTCAGTGAATGGCCCAGCTCCCTCACAGAGATCCTGGTCTCCCTCACCCGCAGAGGGCACCCTGGACGCAGCAAGCCTCCGGCCCCCGTACGCCCCGCCCCTGGCCCGGCCACAAGGCACCGCCCACCTGCAAAGGCCACGCCCCTGACCCGCCCCTGACAGTCCCGGCTCCGCCCCATCCCAAGGCTCCCCTGCCTGCTCACATACGCCCCTAGGCCCCGCCGGCCCAAGGCCCCACCCACCAGCAAAGCCCCGCCCACGGCCCGCCGTCACGTGACGGACCCGGCTCCAGTCTGTGGCGGTGGCCGCCGCGCGGTATTCGTCATGGAGCTGGTGCCGCGGAGCTGTCCGGGGCTGCGGTGGCTGCTGCTCTTCCCGCTCCTCCTGGGCCTCGGCACGGGTATGTTCTGGCAGAAGGCGCACCAACGGCCGGTGCCTCCTTCTGCCTTCTGGAGGGTGAAATTTTGTTAGTGGCTCTATGCTTTTTAAATACAAATTTCTTTGCATGGTTTTTACCTCCCTTAATCCCTGTTGGTTTTGACCTCACTTTTTTTTTTTTTTTTTTTTTTTAATCCAAGTGCCAACCTGGACCACATAGCCAGAGGCCCTGCCTCAAAAACACACAGAAAAAGTACGACTCGGGGAGACCGCTGAGCGAGCGTTCCGCCCAGCCCGCAGGCTGGCTCCTGGCCTGAGCCCAGAGCCGAGCGCTCGCGGAGCCCCGCGCTGGCCTCGGAGCCGCGCCAGGGTGCTCGGCAGTTCTCGGGAGGACAGTGGGGTCGCCTGGCCCTCCACTGTGCCCGGGACGTGTAAAGGCAGCTGCCCCCCACATTTGAACAGTGGGCCCAGGGTTTAGATTAAGAGGGCTGATCGGCGTGAGCCTTGTGTGACAGTTTCTTTTGTTGTTGTTGTTTTTGTGTTTTGAGACAGGGTCTTGCTGTGCAGTTCAGGCTGGCTTTGAACTCACTGTGTAGCCCACGCTGGCCAGGGACTCATAGAGATGCTCCTGCCTCAGCTTCCCCAGTGCTGGAATTATTGCCGCAGACTATCACTGCCAGCCCTTATTTTGGAGATTTTCTAATCTGTCATTTTCAAAGAGACTGTAATCTCATGTGACTTTGTAGAGTCTTGTAGCCCTATGTGTGATTTTTCTACCCATTCTGTTGCACTTCCTGGTTTCTTTTTCTTTTATTTATTATTCTTTTTTTTTTCCCCTTCCTGGCTGAAAAGGCTTGAAATTTGAGAAAAGAGGAAGTAGGAGGCAGAGAAGTCAGTCACCAGGTCCTCTTCCTACCATCCTTTCTCTTCTTTTGACTCTTCTTTTGAACGGTCTCCTAGAGCTACCCTTGGACTCCTGCCTCAGCCCTCCCTGAGTGTGGCTGGCTACACCATTTGCCACCACACTTAGCCTATCATCTTTTTTTTTTAATCAGGTCCTCCCTCTGTAGTTCACACTGGCCTTTATTTAACTCACTATTGTTGCCCAGGCTCACCTTGAACTCATGGCCTCAGCCTCCTGAATGCTGGGATCACAGACACACTCCACTGCACCCCACTCTTGCCTATCATGTGTGGTTTTTTTTTTTTTTTTTTTTGTTTTTTTGGTGGAACTGGGGATTGAACTCAGGCCCTTGTGCTTGCCAGGCAAGCACTTATTCTACTGAGCTATCTCCCTGGCCCCTTGCCTATCTTTTTTTTTTTTTTTTTTTTTTTTTTTTTTGCCTATCATCTTTTAACATTACCTTTGAAAAAACAAAGTCTGCCAACAAGATAGTTCAGCGGCTGAAACACCTGCCTGGCAAGCACAAGGTCCTGAGTTCAATCCCTGGTATGGAAAAAAAAAAGGTCAACCAGTGGCTTTTGAGAAAAATTATACTGCAATTTGAATGTTGTTACTTCAGGAAAAGGTGACATAGAAGATGTACTTAACCTGAGCTGGGTGTGGAGGTACATGGTACTCTGTGATCCTAGAATTTCAGAGGCTGAGGTAGGAGGATTTTAAGTTCAAATCCAGTGTGGGCTACTTACCAAGACCTTGCCTCAGACAAATAAAAAATAGTTAACCTGACCTTTTCCAATACATGTTTTACAATACATGGAGCTGTTGATCCAATTTTAAAAAAAGTCATTGAGTTGGAAATGTTGTCGTGCCCTTGCTCTATCTGTGCGAGGCCTTGGGGTTTGATCCACAGCACTGCAAAAGCCAGAACAACAAAAACATTACAGAGGGCTGGGGAGATAGCTTGGCAGGCTAAATGCCTGCCTGGCAAGTGTAAGGACCCGGGTTCGATCCCTGGTACCACATGCTGTGCCAGCCCTGGAATCCCCTGTGTGTCATGCTGCCCCTGACACCAGGCATGGTGGTGCACACCTGTAATCCCAGCACTGGGAAGGCTGAGACAGAAGAATCACTATGAGTTCAAGCTGTGTAGTGAGACCCTGTATAAAAAATAAATAAATAAAAAATTACAGAAAGGCTCAGAGGAAAGTGTAGAAACCCCGGCTTTCTACAACACTATTCCATCTGGCTTCTTTTTCATGACTAAGGTTCTTTTTTCTTTATCTCCACAATATATTGGAACAGGCAAATGGCCCAGAATATGAAATATTAATCAGTAGGTTACATGGCCGTCTCTCTGAGGCCTGGAATTCACGTGGGTGTCAGAGCTTCCCCAGGAAAATGATGGTGAACTTCCATTTCAGGAGCTGCCGTTGGCTGGTGGGCAGAAGAGGGCAAGGAAGTATGGGATTATGTCACTGTCCGAGAAGATGCCCACATGTTCTGGTGGCTCTACTATGCCACCAACCCTTGCAAGAACTTCTCGGAACTGCCCCTGGTCATGTGGCTGCAGGTAAAGACCTCTGTCCTGCCCTCAAGTAGGGACCCACACCTGCTGCTTGTGCCTCTTGGCTTGTTCACAGCTCAGCGCTGGGGGGCTGACTGCATCCCTCTAAGGGAGGCGGAGGCTGGGATGCGGCCAACCTACTAAGTTACAGGGGAAAGGGGACCTAGCTAGCCTTTGGCCTGGGTCTTGTCTTTTCTTTTTTTGGTGGAACCGGGGATTGAACTCAGGCCCTTGCGCTTGCCAGGGAAGCACTTACTCTACTGAGCTATCTCTCCAGCCCCGTGACCTGGGCCTTTTCATGTGGAGTTGCAGGAAACTTAACTGAAGCTGCCAGTAACACACTTGACTCTGATAGAAACTGTTTGGAAAAGTTCCAAAGCAAAGACTGAGGCCCCTCAGCACCCCTTCCAGAGTCCTGCCTTGGACTGGAAGGTCTTGCCCCACAAGGCTCATCTCTGGATAGATCTTCTACTGGCGTTTTATGTTAGTATGAATGTGAGGCTCCAGCCTTCTCCCTGAGTTTGCTTTTTTTTTTGGTACTGGGAATCAAACTCATGTCTTTGTGCTTGCCAGACAGGCGCTATGTGGCGGGGCTGTATCCCTAGGCCGTAGGTTTGCTTTTCACACTGAACTCTGTGAGCCAGCTGTAGGCACAGGCAGGGATCCTGCCTGCATTTCTGAAACATCTGTCTGGGGCTGTAGGCACTGGCCACCAACCCCAGGGAAGGGTAGAGGAAGAGGAAGATGTGGGCAGAGCCCAGCGGGGCTCCAAGGGGCTCCTAATAAGCACCCACCCTGGTACTCAGCTTCTGGGCGCAGCCCTGGCTTTTACCTCCCAGCCCCGCTGAGGACTTCCTGCTGAGCTAGAGTGTAGATAGATTTTCTCTCATAAGATCTTCACATGGCTCTCTCAGGGGGGACTGGCTCTCAGGACTTGGGCAGGAAAATGCTCCGGTAGCCCACAGTGTCAGCCCTGGTCCAACTGTGGAGAGGAGCTGCAGCGAAGCTGTGTGGGGGAGAGATGGGTGGGGCTGCTGAGCCAAGGCCTGCTGGGCAGGAGGGAGACATGGGTCTTCAGAGCCAGTTCAGCCACTGTCAGCCGGGTGACACACTTCCCTTCTCTGGGCTTTCATTTTCTAAATTGGGGGGATTTTGGTGGTTTTCAAAAGTATTGTTCCTGAGCAGGACTGTTTCTTCACGTTCAGTGAAATCTTACATTTGGCATCTCCTGCAGAGCAAAGCCAAAGTGCTAGGGCCAGGGCAGGTCAGGGTCCCGTGTCCTATGTGTGTGACCTCCTCTTGGTCCCTGGCTGCCCACTGGGTATTTTCCTGGCTTTCCAGAGAACAATTTGAAAAAACACTGAATTTCAGAAATTGTGATTCTTTGGTTCACTGTGGCATCATTTAAACTGAATTAGTTCCCTGTGTTATGAATTTTTTTTTTTTTTTTTTTGCCAGCTCAGCCCACCCTGAGGGCAGGGCTGGCATGGCATATGGTGCTGGGGATCAAACCAAGGTCCCTGCACACTGCCAAGGTACCTACATGCTTGCCTAAGCTTGCCTGCACAGGCGTTTTAGACTGCTGAGCTATCTTGCTGGCCCCTATCACTGTGTTTTAAAACCAGGACATTTTGTTGCTCTTACCAAAAATTAGGAGATCAAGCACCTTGTAACCTAACTGCAATGTCCTCAAAGCTGCATGGTGCAGTGTCCTCCTCTCAGAGAGGACAAGGGCTCTGGGGACATGGAGCCTCTACTCCCACCTGAGTCTCCCTGCTGGTTACTGGCCTCTGCATGGCCCAGGAGGTCATCTAGTTTGTGACCTGCTATTAGGTAAACCTTTGGCCTGAGATATTCTGTGAAGCTGAGCAACTAAGACACAAAATTGCTCTTTTCTCTTTCCCCAGAGGCACAAAGGTAGAAGAAAAAGAAATGATTAGGAAAGAAACAATTAGGAGATGCATTTTAGCAGCCTGCCAAGGGCTCAGGCACCCACGGCTGGATGGGGTGGGGAATCTTTGAGAACTGAGGTCATACTGAATTGAAGTAAATGGGTAGCAAGCTGTTTGGGGCAGACTTTCAAAGTGTTTCATTTGGTCCACTGACACATTTACCATCTTCCTGAGTTCGGGGAGCCCTGGGCCCAAGTAATAACTCCTCCCAAGGTTCTGGATAAAAGATTTTGCAATTTTTTTTTTTTTTTTTTTTTTTTTAAACAGAACAGAAGCTTACTCCTGACAGTTTATCTTTGCCAGGGGGAGAAGGAGACAGAGGGTTGCCTGCCACCACCCTTGCTTCCCTGAAGCAGCCTGAAGAGTGGTGTTTCTCCCACACCAGCCGCTTCAGAGTCTCAGTTTCCCTTTTGCTTTGATCCTGCTGATCCTATTAGGTTCACTAGGAAAAAAAGGTCCTGGCTTTCATTGAGGGCATATACTAGATTTTAATTTATTGCCTATTGCATTTTGTTGCCTGAGCGTTTTCTACTGTTGCCATATAATCTTTCATGATCACCGGTTTGCGACTCCGGTGGCATTGTTATGCATCCTGCAGATGTGGTTTACTAACCCAGTTCCCTACTCTGTGGCTGTGAAGTTGCGCCCTTCCTGTCCTTGGTGTTGCTGTAAATGGCTGTGATGACCGCGTCCAACTCAACTGGTTTGTGAACTTTGAGCCCCTGTGTTAGGGAATCTTAGGCTCCTCTTCAGCACAAAGTACAAAGGCCTGATTTTATCTGGCCCCAACTTTGTGTGGGCGGCCTCTCCCTGCAGGGGTCTCTAGCTGTCCTCCAGCCCGCCCCTAGCCACGCCTTCATCAGTCTGTCATTTTCTTTGCTTTAGATTTCCCTAGGCAAATTGTCCTGGCTTCTATCGTGCGGGAGTGATTATTTCCTTTCGTCATTCCTTCTCTCCCTTTCCTGCTCATCCTGTTGTGCACCGAGAGCCCCGGTAATTTTCTTCTAGGCCCAAGGACTCTATGTTCATCCCGGCTGGTAATGCTGTCCTCATTGCCTCTTCCTGTTGGTCAGCTAGCTCCTTCCATTTTGCCAGAGAAACTCCTCTGCCCATCTGTCTCCTGAAGAGATTCCTCCCATGACAGGCAGATGGTCCATCCCTCCTGCCTGTCTTGTTTGAGCTCATCCTTTCTCTCCCCACAGCCCATCCAGTCAGAGCCATAGAACATCTTTCTGTCATGCTTTGGGGTCTGCGGCACCTTGGTTAAGTCCAGAACCCTGTCTCTTCCCTGTTCCTTGATGTCTACAGTTCGGGGTGCTCCTGCCTGGGCCTTGCACATTTACTGTGTTACATATGGGTCCCTTTGTTGATCCACAGGGGTTCAGAAGAGACAGTCTCCCATTTTTACTGAGAAAAGGTTCCCAGAGTCCAGTCTTTGTAGATGCCCAATTGCTGAGTTGCCACATCCCCTCAGGCTTTACTGCCCTTTCAGGAAAAGGGTTTGGGTGAGATGTTTCTGCAGGTCTCTTCTAGCACTGAAAGTCTGCAGGCCTGCATCAGGCCGAGCCTGAGGCACAGAATCAGGAGGCTAGAAGGTTCCTGGAAGGGTCTCAGCCCCCCTCAGTCCTTTCAAAGAGAAGGCCTTCAGCAGCTGCCAGGGGAACCTGGTGGGTATAGACACTGCTGGTCACCAGACAGGTTGGGACTTTTATGCAGGGTGACCGAGCTGTCCCTGAATCATAAGTCATTTCTAGTGACTATGTCCATCCTTGTAGCAAATAACATTTGACTACATTTTCTCTTAGTTTTGTCTCATTTTCTTTTTCTCTTGTGCAGGGCGGTCCAGGCGGTTCCAGCACTGGATTTGGAAACTTTGAGGAAATTGGACCGCTCGACAGTGGCCTGAAACCACGAAAAACCGCCTGGGTATCATTAGGGTCCTCCTCCCGCCCCCCATTGCACCTGCCCAGGAGCCTCTCAGGCCAGGCCCACCTGGTCTTGCCCAGCGGGGGTGGGGCCACAAATCTGGCAACCCATCCCACTCACCTTTCCTGAGGCTTTGGGCCCCTGTCTTGTCTACTCAGGCTTCTCCATGTCTCGGGACAGCTTATCCACCTGCCCCCACAAACCTGCTCTGGCCGGATATCCAGAGCGCTGTCCTTCTCTGCAGCCTCACCCTTCTCATTTTACTTCCTTGCTAAGCTTACCTGTGGGCCCTGCTCAGCCTCTGCACCCAGGTGCACAAAACCACAAACCTGAGTCGATGCTCCTCCAGGCCACCACCACTTTTGCTGTGCACCCTTACTTGCTTCTCCAGCAATAGCTGTCACCAGGGATGTTCCTGGCTCTGCTCCAGCTCCTTCTCCTCAGGAGCTAACCTGTTCAGTCTGTTTTTGTGCCTTCCTCTCATCTTGGCCTAAAACGTTCCTTTGGTAACAGTAGCAGAGGGCTCCGCTAGCTGGCCCCCAAGCTTCCCGGATGTGAGGGCAGTGAAGCTGGACAACCAGCCTGAAGGAAGAGGGAGGCCCAGGGGCCAGGCCTGGTCCTGCCAACCTTGTGATCCTGGTTAAGCCCTGGCCCCTTTCTGGGCTAAGATTTCCTGGCCTCTAAAGAACATACCAAGACTCTTCCATTGCTGGGGAAGTAGCTCCAAGACAGAGCACGTGACTAGCATGCCTGAGGCCCAGGCTGGGCTCAAATTTGTGATCTTCCTGCCCTGGCCTCCCAGAATACTGGATTACCAGTGTATGCCACAACACCCAGAAATGCATACATTAAAATAAATAGAGCTGGATGTAGTGGCATATGCATATGCCTTCCAGATGCAGATTTATTTATTTATTTATTTATTTTGAGACAGGCTATTCACTGCATAGTTCAGGCTGGCCTGAACTCACAGTGAACCCAGGCTGAACTCAGGTAGCACCAATCTCCTGGCTTCAGCCTCCTAACCACTGAGATTATAGGTGTACACCACTGCACCAGACCAGATGCAGAATTTTTAACTCAACTGCCTTGGAAGAGGTAGTAGAATTAAGTGTACTCCTGCACTGGACAGGGAACCCAGGCCCAGGCGGAAGTGATTCTTTTGGAAGCAGACTCCTGAGTGATGTTCAGACCTCGGGGGACCCTCACAGGCAGACCCTGCCCCGTACGGCCTGCGCCAGCAGTGCAGCCCTGTGTGTGAAGGGGGCCGGTGTAGCATCTCTGATCCCCAACTGCCTGCCCATCTCTCCTGTGTGCCTCACCCTGTGTTGGCTGCACCTTGCATTCCTGTCTCTTTTTTCAAAAATCCCTTTGAACAACAGGTTTCATCACTGCACTGCTGAGCTCTGTGGTAGGAGGCTGAGCTCCGAGCAGCCGGTTGATCGCCCCTTCTGCTCTGTGCCATGTAGCTCCAGGCCGCCAGCCTCCTGTTTGTGGATAACCCGGTGGGCACCGGCTTCAGTTATGTGAACACGACCGACGCCTATGCCAAGGACCTTGCTACGGTGGCTTCGGACATGCTGGTCCTCCTGAAGACCTTCTTTGATGGCCACAAAGAATTCCAGGTACGCAGAAACTGGGGAACAGCTAAGGAAAGGAGAGGAGAAGAACTACAGCACGTTCTTCAGGACTGGCAGCAGTCCCAGCAGTTGCTGCCTGGCAGATTTCAGCAAAGGCCCTTTGCTTAAAGATAGTCTTTAAGCTGGGCATGATGGCACATACCTGTAGTCGCAGCACTGGGGAGGCTGATGTAAGAGGGTTGACATGAGTTTGAGGCTCTCCTGGGCTACATAATGAGATCAAGACCAGCCTGAACTGCATAGTGAGAAGTTTTAGCATGAAGTAGTGACTGTGGTGTCAGTGTTCTAATCATATGGGGAAACACGCGAAAGCAGGCTTCTTCTGTATGGCTATTACACACAACACAAATTTGTAATTACTTGGTGTTAGTGAAAAGGCAAGTTGCAGTATTTAATTCTTTGTAAATATCTTTTCTTGTTAGACAATTCCATTCTACATTTTTTCCGAGTCCTATGGAGGAAAAATGGCTGCTGGCATTGGTCTGGAGCTCTATAAGGTAATAGGGAAGATACCTTTGTTGTGGTGGTTTGGACAGATTCCTTTGGCAATCTGATTATGATTCTTTTGGCATTCACCTGATAAGGGTTATATTTTGAATAGGGTCTTGTACATGCAGAGAGGTAGTAAGTCTTAGTAGTCACAGGGCTGGGGAAGTAGCTCCGAGACAGAGCGCCTGACTAGCACGTCTGAGGTTGGGCTCATACTTGTGATCTTCCTGCCCCGGCCTCCCAGAGTGCTGGGATTACCAGTGTGTGCCACCACACCTAGCAATGCATACTTTAAAATAAATAGAAGGAGCTGGACATAGTGGCATATGCATATAATCCCAGCCCTCTAGAAATGGAGGCAAGAGGATTTCTCTGAGTTTAAGGTCAGCCTGGGCTACATGAGTGAGGGTCTTACTGCATAGCAAGACCCTGCCTCCAAAAAAAATAAATAAATAAACAATAAAGAGAGAAAGAAAGCACAGTAGCTGGGTGTGATGGGTCAAACCTGTAAGCCCAGCACTTGGGAAGCTGAAGCAGGAGAATCATTGCGAGTTTGAAACCAGCCTGGGCTACAAAGTGAGCTCAAGGCCAGCCTGAACTGCATAGAAAGAACCTGTCTCAAAAAAAAAAAAAAAAAAAAGCAAGCACAGAGGCCTGAGTTGCTTGTCCTTAGGCCTCACCTCCACCCTTACAGAAGTCTTACAGATGCCTCTAGACCTTCAGTGGCCTCCCAAGGAGCCCCAAAGCCCTTGGGAGAATCGTGGCTCTCAGGGTGAGGGGGACAGACCCACGTAGCCCACGAGCAAGGCAGAGGGATGCTAAGCGGTGCCTCCCTGCTCTGCCAGTAGCAGCAGGAGAGAGCTGCCCTGGCTCCTGGCTGGCGACTGTGATCTGCTGATGCCCAGGGAGTCTTGCCAGGGCAGCAGGGGTCTACGCTCAGGCAAGGCAGCATGGAAAGCCTATCTCTGCTGAGGCAAAGGTGGAGCCCCGTCTACCCTCAGCACAGTGTTTCTTGGCTCCTCTTCAGGCTGTTCAGCAAAGAACCATCAAGTGCAACTTTGCTGGGGTTGCTTTGGGCGATTCCTGGATCTCTCCTGTTGGTAAGTATGCATGTTGGGGCATTTCTTTCCTCCCACTTCCTGGGGCTTTGGATTGCATCATCCAGATCAGAGTATGAGGCAGCAGAATTTTCTGGGTCTTTAGAGAAGTCAGCATAGAACACGCCCATCCCAGGAGACCCCAAGAAGGGAAGAACTCATTTCTAGAGCACCCTCCACTGGGCTGACTTCTTTTATTTGTGTGTCTCAACAAAGGAATTGAATTTTTCGGTTGGAGACGCTGCAAAGGCTCAGCAAGGTGCTGAGATGCCCCCTTTGATACACAGAACAGGCAGCCTAGTAAGGATGCAAATCAGGCTGCTTAGCGCAGCCCCGGCAAATCTGTCAGCTTGTCCACTCCACCAACCCGGTGCTGGTATGAGAGTGTGGCACATGGGGTGACATTTCCAGTGCTCATGCTGCAGGCCAGACAAGGTTGTCATCTGGTCTTGCAAGTTGTAGGTCTGAGTTTCACAACTGAGCATCCTTGTGGGAAGCCCGGCTAGCAGGTGGCCGCGCTGAGGTGTCGGGTGTGGCTGCAGACGTCAGCAGAACCCTTCTAGGTGGAGCCGATGGCCAGGGTGGCACAGCCTCAGCACAGTGACATCTGGGGGAGCCCTTGTTGAGGGCGCTGTCTTGTGCCTTGGAGGGTGTTTGTCAGCAGCCACCCTGGCCTCTGCTGTGAGGCATCAACGGCACCACTGCAGGGTGACAGGCAGAAGAAGGCTCTCCGGGTGTTGCCAGGTATCCCCTGTAGGAAGCATCATTCCTGGTACAGAAACGCTGCTCCGACCTAGCAAAAGGTGACTTTTCACAGGCAAGACCAAACCTCCAAACTTCAGTGTTGGAAATCAGAAAGGAAGTGGGCTAGAGGAGAGGACAAGGGAGCCGAGCAGGACCCGGCTGCCGGCTCCTGCGCCTGCGCCTTCACTGGGCGGTGGTCGCCTGGACGTGAACAGCAATCTAAAGGCGCATTTGTAATTTGTGATGTGTGACTGCAGCTCAACTTTTGAAAATAATAATTTATAAAAGGTAATATTTTTCACCCAAAAGATAAGGACTTGGCTGGTTACAGAGCGGGGTCCCCAGTGGGCTTGGGTGTTCCGAGGCTCTTGGGATGACTGCCCCTTGCCCTCCTGCATCCTGCACGCAGAGGTCTGGCTTTCCTCTCCAGTCACCCTCACTGGAGCACAGACAAGAGTGTCTGTGATGCGCAGCACAGCACTGCTTACGCTTCCGGCGGGGCCTTCGCACAGTCAGCATAGCTCGGGACACTGCGCTGAGCAACGTCCCCTGGCCCTTACAAAACTCCACATAGGAGATGCTGTTATTATACCAGTTGTGTCGGTGACGAAACTGAGACTTAAGAGAGGTTAAGCAACTTTGCTAGAGTTGCACAGCCCTAAAGCAGAGCTGAGATTAAAACCAGGCAGCAGGTGTGGAGTCTGGGCACTGAGCACTGGTCTGCAGCTTCTGCCTGACCACGAGGGCCCACCTCATGGCACCGTAAGGGGGGTTCTTTTGTCTTTCTGAGACAGGGTCTCCCTACGTAGTGCGGGCTGGCCTTGAACTCCCTTTGTAGCCCAGGCTGGTCTCAAACTTGCATCAATCCTTCTGCCTCAGCCTCTCAAGTGCTGGGTTTACAGGCTGTGCCACTGTGCGGTTCAGTAAGTGGTGTTCATCCTGCCCAGAATCTGCCATTTTTTTCCTTGCCATGACCCGCCTTACCTTCCAGTCCAGATTTTTTTTTTTTTTAAACAGGGTCTCACTATATAGCCCAGGCTGGCCTCAAACTTATGGCATGGTCCTGCTTCAGCCTCCTGAGTGTTGGGATTACAGGTGGTGCCACCATGCCTGGCATGCTCTTAACTTTTAAGTGTTACCCCATTAGTAAGAAGACCATCATAGAACCTAGGCCTCTAGTTATGGAGATAATTGTGAGCCCAAATCAGCCTCCCTAATCTTTTATTTGAGACAGGGTCTCACTATGCTGTTCAACCTGGCCTTGAATTCACTGTGTATCCCTGGCTAGGCTCAAACTCATGGTGATCCTCCTGCCTCAGCCTCCCGAGTGCTAGGATTATAAGCATGTGCTACAACACCTGGCTTTAAACCTCTTTTCTTTGTTTCTTTAAAAAAAAAAGTCTTTATTTATTTGGTGCAGGGTCTCTCTATGCAGCTTGGACTCATAGTGAGCCTCCTGTCTCGCCTTCTCTAGCACTGGGATTACAGACATGCACCACCACGCCTGGCGGGGCTGGCACAGCATTCAGTACCGGGGATCAAACCTGGGTCCATGCGCTTGCCAGGCAGGTGCTTAGACCACCAAGCTATCTCCCCAACCCTAAATCTCTTTTCTTTATAAAGTTAAAAAGATAAAGTATTGCCACCTGTCCTCAAGCACTGTTTTTCGAGGAAGAAGTACTGCTGATTCCATCAACGATTGTTGGTGGCAGGGACCCTGCTGGGCACGAGGCCAAGCCACCCAGATAGACTCCGTATCTGGCCTGGGGCTGCGCTGTCACCCAGAACACAGGGCAGTCTCAGTGCTTCAGCCTCACACAGCCAGCGAAGTGCAGATGAATTCAAATTCCAGTTTTAGATTTTCAGAGGCGCCGCCCGTCCACCTTTCAAATGCGCAGCAGATGCGGGCTGCTGTTGCCCGTCATCTTGGAGCCCCCAGGCACAGGGCATTTCTGACACTGCGGCAGACTGCACTGGGCAGAACAGGTCTGCGTTGGGTTGGCAGTCGCAGTCCTGCCCCGTGTGGTGCAGAGGCTTCCTCAAGCAGCAGTGCTGTCCGCGTACAGTGTCGGTGGCCCTTTGGAGGCCGCAAGGACAGCACTGAGCCGTGGCTGCAGAGCCTGCGGCTGGCAGGCAGATCCAGATTATTTGCTCTCTGCCCCTTTCCAGAAGGTTTGCCGACCCCTGCTCTAGATCAAGCAGGGGCTGGGGATGCGCCGGAGAGCCGCAAATGATTCTGGTGGCGCATACTTGGAATCCCAGCACTCTCGAGGCTGAGGCAGGAAGATCCTGAGTTCAAAGCTGACCTGGTCTACGTAGAGAGTTCAAGGCCAGCCCGGGCTGGGTAAAAGATCCTGGGTTTTTTTGTATGTTTCTTTTTAAAGTAACAAACAAAAAAATACACCAAGTGATTTTGTATTTCACGAAACGAAGGCATAGGCTTGATGGTTCAGCTGGAGAGCTGAATGCCAGCTAGACCACAGGTCTCCTGTGCCTGCATTTCTCAGGGGGCACTCTGAAGAGTGCGGTCCTGTGAGTGCTGCGCGGGGGGCGCTGCTCGCCTGAGTTTTGGAAGCCCTGAACACTGGCCTTATTTTGTCAGGGTCCACAGCTATATTGAGGCTGAGAAGTCCTGCAGTAAAGGAACGGACTGTGCGTAGCCCCAAAGCATTTAATCATTCTTCCTCATACCTGCATTAAAATCCTGTGAACTGAGATTACTTGACACATGCTTCCAGAGCCCTGGCCAAGGGAGCTGTTGACGTTCTCAGATGTGCTTTGTACCTGGAGACCCTCGATACTTTTGCTTGTTTCTATTTTTGCTTTTGAGACAGGGACTTCCTGTGTATTCAAGGCTGGCCTTGAATTTATGGCAGTCCTCCTGCCTCAGCCTCCTAGGTGCTAGGATTACAGGTGTGTGCACTATTGCTGGCGAAACCCTTGATACTTGATCCACATACCTCTCGTGTCGTGTGTCTCACCTAGTGACACGGTACCTGTGGACTTAACCAGCTCAGCTCGCTGTTGTCTTGCTCCTGTTTGCGTCTCCTAGAGCCACTTGCTGCCCCCAGGCCCTTCAGAACTTCTCAGTGTGGCAGAGAAGTAGAACTGAGCTGGTTGGCAGGATGGCCGTGACACTGGGGTTGCAAACCTGTTAGGTTTCTTCCTTAAACAGAGTGAATAGAGTACAAAGTAGAGATGTGAGGGTGGAGAATTATTTCAAGCTGTCAGGAAGCCTAGAAGCGTGCAGGTCCCAGCCTCGCCCTGTATACCCATCGCCTGCCTCTGGGGATGCATCACTGGCTGTGACACATTGGCTGGCCTGGGCTGGGCCGGGTCAGAGGGGTCAGGAGCGTGCCATTCCATTCCTCAGTGCTGCAGAAGAAAGGCTCCGCCCTGCCCCGACTGCCAGCACTGCCAGCAGCCGAGCTGATCTGTCGCCTGCCTTGTGCAGGGTGGTGGCTCCAGAGCCTCAGAGCATAAGCCCCTAGGGCGTCTGGCTGTGGAGGGGAGCTCTTGGGCATCAGCCAGCACACATTTAATTTGTGCCTATGCGATTTTCTTCAGATTCGGTGCTCTCCTGGGGACCTTACCTGTACAGCATGGTAAGTGGGTGGCTCCCCAGCTCCACGTCCTCTGACAAACAGCCTGGCTGACCTCTCTGGCCCTGACCTCTTCTGTCCCTGGTAGGAGGAAGCCAGGTCACTTTGGATGGTTGACACTGTTCCTGAGGGACTGTTGGTCTGTCCTGTGTAGCAGGTGGCACACTTATTACATTTTTGAGGTGTAACAATCACCCTTCTCAAATTGGCTAACTTTTTATTATGAAAATGTTCAGCCAGGCCCCGTGGTGCCTGCTGGTAGTGCCAGCAGTCTGTGAGGCTGGAAAAGGGTAATCACAAGTTTGAGCCCAGCCCGCGTAACTTAGTGACTTAGCAAGCCCTGTCTCAAAGTAAGGAATAAAAAGGCTGGCGTTGTAGCTTACTATGAAAGGCCCCAAGTCCCTTCCCCGGTACAAGAAAGGAAGAAAGAAAGAAAGAAAGAAAGAAAGAATTAATTCTCAGATATTTCCCAGGGTTAAGGGGTCGCTGTGAACACCCATGTGTCTGCCACCTTGGTTCACTTAACATTTTACTGTACTCCTTCCTGTCGAGCTGTGTGAGCTCCCTGCCCATGGCTGGCTCTGGCAGTACCAGATGTGTGCTTCTGAATAAAGCAGGCCGCTTTGTTCTTGCGTTCCAGTCTCTCCTCGATGACACAGGTCTGGCTGAGGTGTCCACCATTGCCGAAAAGGTCCTGGCTGCCGTAAACAGTGGGCTCTACAAGGAGGCCACCCGGCTATGGAATGAGGCAGAAATGGTCATTGAAAAGGTAAAGGCGGAGCCTGGGTGTCCCTGTGGGTGCAAAGGCTATGGCTTGTGGGGTGGGGACTGGGGGTCTGTCCTGGGTCTCTCCAGGTCTCACTATGTAATCCATGCTGACCTTAAACTCCCTGGGTAGCCTAGGCTAGCCTCAAACTCTCATGGATCCTCCTGCCTCAGCCTTCCAAGTGCTGGGATTACAGGTGTGTGCCACCAAGCGAAGCTACGTCCGAGTAAATTTTTTTTTTTTTTATTTTTTTCTGGAACCAGGGATTGAACTCAGGCCTTTGCACTTGCCAGGCACGCACTTACTCTGCTGAGCCATCTCCCTGGCCCCTGTCTGAGTAAATTTACATGGCTAAAGCTAACCTTGAAAATCTCTCTGCCTTTTTGTTTTGCAACTTTGATGGTAGAAAAAGAAAACAGACAGCCAACTGTACTTGTGTATTTCAGAATGCTGATGGGGTGAACTTCTATAACATCTTAGCCAAAAGCACTCCCAACTCAGCCATGGAATCCAGCCTAGAGTTCATGCCCAACCATGTAGGTGAGTAAACCTAGATGCCGTTAGTCCTGCCTTAGTCTCCTGCAATAAGAAACCCATCTGTGGCACGTCAGATAGCTCAGTGGATTAAAGCACCTGCTTAGACAGACACGGGGACCAGGGTTCAACCCCCAGCGTGCTGTGCCACCCAGATCCCGCCCCCCAGGGCCTGCTGAGATGAGACTGAGACTGGGCGTGGTGGTGCACACCTGTAATCCCAGCGCTTGGGAGGCTGAAAACAGGAGGATCACTGTGAATCTGATCTGTGTAGTGAGACTCTGTAGACCCTGTACTAAATACATTAAAGGAAAAAAAAAAAAAACCATCTGTTTTAAAGCCTTTTTAATGTATAATTTGCACAGCATAAAAGTGACCCATTTTAAGGGTATGACGCAATTGCTTTTAGCATATTCACTGACTCGCACAGTCATCGCCATAATCCAGTGTTAGGACACCTCTGCCATCCCCCTGAGATCCCACAAGTCTATTTCCAGCCAGTTCTCTTCCCTTTCCCAGCCCCAGGCAACCACTAATCTGCGTCTTCTTACATTTATTCCTCTTCTAAATAGTCTTTATAAATGAAACCACATGATAGTCATTTTTTTTTTTTTTTCTTGCAGAACTGGGGATTGAACCGGGCTAGCACACGCTAGCCAAGCACTCTATCACTGAGTTCACACCTCTGACCCTTTTTATTTTATTCTGAAACAAAATCCTAGTAAGTTTCCCAGGCTGGCCTTGAAGTCATGATTCTCCTGTTCTACCCAGCTGCTTTGAGCAGCTGCAGTTACATGCAGGCCTGTACCACCATGCCTGGCCTACGTTAGCTTTTTGCATCTGGCTTCTGTCATTCAGAGTTGAATTTAGTGGCCTTTTCGCCACCCCAGCTTCGCTTCAAATGCAGAATGCCTGGCTTTGCCTCCGTAAGAAGCCAATAAAGGCCGCAGGATACCCCAGATTCTACCTCTCAGCTGATTTTCCTTGTCCCTTTTGGATAGACCCAGTGGCCCCTCATGTAATACTAACAGATTCTGACTTCTCCCTCCTCCCCTGCCCCTGGAAATCAGGTGACTTTCCCGTGTGAAAGCCTCTTTCTTACTGCACTGCATCTGGGCATCCTGTTCCTAAGCTCTTGACTCATTTTGTGCTGGTTTGGTTCTAGTCCGTCTTTCTCAGCGCCACGTGAGACACCTGCACCAGGACACCTTGAGTCAGCTCATGAACGGCCCCATCAGAAAGAAGCTCAAAATTATTCCCAAGGATTTCTCCTGGGGAGGTACTTATGTAACCCGATTGAGCGTCCTTTGTGAAGTTGGGAAAAGGGAGGTGCAAATCCTGAGCCCTTGATTTGTGGACCGGGCTTTGGTGGTGCTGACGGTATGTTGGGAGTCAAGCAGTATCCCATCCACACTTTCGAAGTGGGCAAGCAGGGCTGGGGTCAGTGACCAACACACTAGGACAGGTTCCAGGGGTTGGTAGGGAGGAGGGTGGGGAGAGACATGACACATGATTGGTTGTGAGTCAGTAATTGTTGAAGCCCAGTTTGGAAACATGAGGATCATTACCCTCTTCTCTTTACCTTGTCAGTTTGAAATTTTAAGGCCAATAAGTCATGTCCAAGACCACAGCTAGCAGCAAGTTAATTTCCACCCAGAGGTCCTTTGAAGGAAGTCAGACACACCCATGTGCGTGGACTGGTTCTGACCAGCTCCCTCTTGCTGGGCTCCCAGGTGTCTTATTGCTGGATGTGGTTTGCCGTGGACTGCTGCTCTCAAGGTCAGAGTATGGAAATACCAGAGTCTGTAGTGACCTTAGCCACCCAGAAATCTGGAATAAGTTCCCACTTAGTCCAGCAGAGAGGCCTTCACACATTCATGACAGGGCCATCATTAGTGTTTCCTACTATAAGGAGGCTTGAACCACTGGTGCTACATACATCACTGTCCTTGGGTGGCTTTCTATTAATTTGATTAGTTAAAAAAGAAAAAAGTGATACAATCAATCCATTTGTCCCACCAGTGGTACAAGCCGCCCAATGGGAGGCACACATATCTCACCAGTGATTCAGGCCTGTGGGAATACATTCAACAAGGAGGATCCTCCAATTTCTGGTGGAAAACACTCCACAAACAATCTGAGCAGATGTCGTGTTTTATGTGTGTGTTCAAGACACCCCTAGACTATGTGATCAGGCGGCCCCTTTTCTCAGATGGCCTCTTGGCAGATGCTGAGGAGCTAAGACTTGACCCTTGTCCTTGCTTCCTTCACGGGCCATCCTGTCCCAAGCTGCAGGCACTAGAGGCTCATCCTAGACCTGGTATCCTCATTCTTCTAGATCACATAGAAGGGCAGGATGTGGTGTTAGAAGCTGCAGAGGGTGCCCACAGCTATGAGGAGCGCGCATGGCGCTGGGCATGCGCAGAATCACAGGAGGGCAGGTGTAGACAGCCTCTTAGGGAATGCGTGCCTTCTGCTCGCCTTGCTCATTTTACCTTCTTGATGGTGTTTTCCAGCCCCAGGGTTACAAGGACCCCCCTTTCCCCAACAAGGGTGGCTGAATGGGCAGGATGAATGTATTTTTGCAACTGATATAGAAAAGCCTCTTGGGCTCCAGATCTTTGTGTGGTTCAGAAAGGACAACCTGCTCTTAGCCACTCTCTTGGTTGCAGTTTATAGTGAAATGTACATAAGGAGAGGCAGCCAGGCCTGAGTTCATGTTGCCGCTCATCACTGAGCAGCTGTGTCCCTTCTCCTAGGCATGTTATAAGTTGAGATGTCTCATTTCTAGAGGTAGTGATGAAGAACAAGTGGGAAGTGCTTCATAGGATGCTTATTTAGCCATATGGCTGGGGAGTAAGTGGTGGCTACGAATAGTACTGCTGTCATTAATGGGATGATATTGGAGGGGAAGAATCAGCAGGAATGCTGTACTGACTGGCTCTTCTTTTGCCTGTGCCTCAGTGGCTTTCCTGAGGGCCAGCTCAAAATTGGCTTGAGTCTGGCTTGGCTTTTTATAAGGCAGCTCCACGTGTTCAGATTTTGGAAGCTGACCCTGGTATTAGCCAGCATAAAAGGAAAACTTTGGCCCCAGAGTACAGTTCAGTCCCTGAGTGAACCTAAAGAGTGCCCTTGGCCTTCGCCCTGCTGACTGCTAGCTCCCAGGTTTCAGTTCCTCATTAAAAATGAAGTCTGCTGCCTTAATTATTTTTCTCTCATCGCTGGGGCAATATACCGACCACCAAAGTTAGAGAGGGAAAGGTTCATTTGGCTCACAGTTTGTAGAGGTTTCAGTCCGTAACCAGCTGGCTCCAAGGCAGAGAGGCACATGGCAGAGGGACAACAGCTCAAGGCTGCAGAAGACGGCCAAAGCAACAAGAGCCGAAAGGGGGAAGCAAGGCTCTTTTCCTCCCTTGTGTTGTATGCAGGCTACCCACGCTAGGGAGGGAGTAGCCCTCACACCTCCTCTGGGCCCCGCTCTTGCAGAGGCTGAAGATGTTTGCAAAGTGAGGACCCTGACGCCCTGCTGAGTTGCTTAAACCTTTAAACTTCTCCAATTGACACAATGAATCAACCACTATAACATTCCACTCCTGGGTCTGTGCCCTAGGCCCTGTCCTCTCACCCTAGGAGTGGAATGTTGAGTCACTTGGGGAAGCTTCTGAACTTCTCAAGCTGACACAGTGTATCAGTCATTACACCCGCCATCCCAAGTACCGGAAGTAATGGTGCTTCCCTTCCACCCAGCTAGCTGAGGCGTGGGTCATTCACTGTCTGTGAAGCTCCTGCCTGCTCACGGGGCTGACTTCTAGGTGCCGGGGCGCAGGATGCTTGGGCTGCAAAGCACCTCTTATTCTGGCACATTCTAAGCTGCTACCTCTGTCCTGCCCTGTGTAGCCCAGTCTTCTTTCGTCTTCATGAATATGGAAGAGGACTTCATGAAGCCAGTTGTCAACATCGTGGATGAGTTGCTGGAAGCTGGGATAAATGTGACCGTGTACAACGGACAACTGGATCTCATTGTGGACACCATGGGTAGGCACCGACTCTACACCAGGGGTGGGAACCTGCGCCAGATATGTCTGCGCTGACATTGACGACCCTGCTGCCAGGAGGAAAGTCAGCTTTTGCTGCTTGAAGACCATGGCTGTTCTGCAAGAGGGAAGCTGAGCACAGCTGTGATCCCTCCTAGGAGCCTGAGCCTTTCTAGGATGTGAGGAATCTGGTTCCTCAGAACCTGAAGCTCCTTAGATTATGATTAAAGCGCAGTGCCTGCCCCCACTACAGAAATTTTCTGGCTATTTAACTGCAGGGAAAACTTTTTTTTTTTTTTTAAAGGAACGGGTCTATAGGATGTCCAGGGTCTCACTACTTGATTGGACTCATAATGATCCTCCTGTTTACAGCCTCCGAAGAGCTGGGATTACAGGCGCATGCCACCACACCCAGTCTCAATTGCTGTCTCAGCACCCCCTGGGGTGGGACCAGCACAGCAGGGCTTGTAATCAACCCCTCCACCCCTGCTTGCAGGTGCTTTAATCCGCTGAGCCATTTGCCGGCCCTGTATTAGTCACTTTCCTGTTGCTAGAACAAAATACCTGACATTCATAGCTTAAAGGAGAGGAAGTTTGTTTTGGCTCATAGTTTCAGAGGTCTCAGTCTCATGCGGTCCACGAGCTTGCTGTGATGTCAGCAGGGCCTGGTGGAGGCCTGGGGACATCCTCAGGAGCTGTGGGAACAGCGGGGCTCAGGCTTTGGCAGGTGCAGCGCTCCTGTTCTCGTAGCGCCAGCAGGCGTGAGTGTTCTGCGCCTTGCACCCAGAAAAGCTAGTTTCTTTCTTGCGCTGCCCAGCTGAGCCTCATTTGGCCTCCTCCTCCCTGACACTGCTAACTTCCTGACTGCCCTATCAGCCTCTAGAAGTCCCTGGTTCCCCTCCTAACAGGCGGCAGCGAGAGAGTTAGTGGCAAAAATAACTAGATCCAGATACTATAAAGCCAGTTTATACCACTACACAGTTTCTCCCTCTTCACAGTTTGTCCCCAGGGTAGCGTGGCTTGTGGTTGGAATATTTCTGCTGCCGCTCCTGTTTTATAGGCACACCAGATGAGAAACTAAATCTTTGCCTGAGGAATCCTGTAAAGTACTTTAGGATAATACGATGGGAATTTCAACCAGGAGCTGAAGGACACGTTTTGGGAAGCTCCTGGTTCAGCAGCCGCTCACGCTGGGCCACCCTCCTTTTCCTTCTCCCCAGGTCAGGAGGCCTGGCTGCGGAGGCTGAAGTGGCCAGAGCTGCCCAAATTCACTCAGCTGAGGTGGAAGGCGTTGTACAGCAACTCCACATCCTCGGAGACCTCTGCTTTCGTCAAGTCCTACAAGAACCTGTCTTTCTTCTGGATTCTAGGCGCAGGTCACATGGTGAGAGGGCGTCACCTTTCATTCCAGGCCAAGGGCCATGCTGAGTGAAGAGCCACAGGCAGTTTACTGTGTGTGTGCCCAGGGCTTTGATGGGTCTTAGGAGTCCTTTGGGCTCAGGGGTGTTTTGCGTTCGCTAGTAGACTTCTGCCCCAGGTTGAGCCTCTCTGATTCAAACATCCAAACTTCAGAATGGCTCCAAATTAATGACTTCTTGAGCGCCAGCAGGATATCACGTACACTTGACCTCCTATGATTTGACGTGGAACCCAGGGGTTTCGACTGCGCAAAATGACCTTGAGCCTGTTGGCAGAGGTGGTGTTGCACTTTGGTCACATTCTCATCATGTGTGTGCAAATATTTCAGTATCTGAGAAACTGAAGTCTAAGAACACTTCTGGTCCCAGCATTTCAGATAAGGGATATCAACAGGTGTGATTGCCTCATTGCTTGGAAGATCAACTCACTCTAAGAGTAAATCCCGCAGTGAGAGTTAATGCTGAACTCTCTGTCCTTTTGAATTTAAACTTGTCAGTAAGGTACTTTCCTCTTCAGTTTGTCCTGGGGGAAGAAGAGAGAAGTTGCCTTTCTCTGGCTATTTGCAGGGAGTGAAAACCAGGGATGATTTCTCTGTAAACTGAGTCACAGAGCATGGCATAAGAGTCCCCAAGTGGTGGTGGCCTGCAGATTTGTTTAGAAGAAGCTTTGAGCCGGGCATGGTGGTGCACACCTGTAATCCCAGCACTCGGGAGGGTGACACAGGAGGATTTCCACGAGTTCGAGGCCAGCCTGGGTGACAAAAGTGAGTTCAAGGCCAACCTGAACTACACTGTGAGACTGTCTCAAAAAAACAAAATCAATAATAAATAGAAGAGGCCTTGAACACCAAAATGAGTCATGCCCCCATTACTGTCCTGAAACACATGCAAAGTGAATGCCCTATTTTCCCTTCAGTTATAGGTTGATAAGGTGGTTTTTCTTGAGCTGGGGAAGATTTTGGAGGCCTCAGTCCTGCCTCCACCTGTGGACTTGCAGAGGACTTAATAGAACCAGTGGCATGGGCTGAGGGTGAAGCTTGGTGGTAGAGCACTTGCCTAGCATATATGAGGCCTGTGGGTTCAAGTCCAAACACTGCAATAAATAAATGGATATTCAAGTTAAACCATAAAAAGCATTAGCAAGAGGCAGAAGGGCCCAGGAGCTTTCTCAGGCAAACACCTGGGTGTCCCCTGACCATTGTGCAGCGCAGGTATTGGGAGCACAAAGGTGAATCCTGTCCTCCAGCACAGAGCAGCAGTTGAACCTATGGCACGCGTGCTGCAGCGTGATGTGGGAATGTCTGAAAGCTCTCAAAGGTTCCCCATCACTGGTCTAGAAGGACAGACAGGCAAAAAGACTGCATAGCATAGGAGAGCAGTGCTAAAATGGGGGTGGTCAGGGAAGTGTCCCCAGCCCTGGCTAGTGGGTGTGGAAGCCCCAGACTACCCTTGATGTGCAGGAGTGAGGGAAGGAAAGAGGAGTGGCCAGGGCGGCACATGCATGAAGCCTGAAGGAGCCTTCAGGGAGGGAGGTTGAGGGGTGCTGGGGAGGTGAAGGCTGGGTGAGGAGGCTTTGTCTAGCATGCTGAGGAGCTCAGACTGTGGCATTGTGGAGGGGTTTTAAGCAAAGGTATGAAGCTCTCAATTTGTCTAGGAAGTAATAGTCTAGCAGCAGGGAACATAGGGAAAGGCTGGGGTAGAGAATTGAAGAGTGAGGCTGTTACAGTAACCCAAGAGAGAGAAAAAAAAAAGTGGATTTGATAATGAATAAGAAAGTATTTAACCACTAGGTATAGTGGTCCACTTCTATAATCCCAGCTACTCTGGAAACTGAGGCAAGAAAATCTCAAAGCCCACCCTGTGTACCTTTCTGAGACCCTGTCTTAAGGCAAAACATTTTTAAAAAGCTCAGTGCCTAACCTGGCTGAGGTCCTGGGTTCCACCCCCAGCCCCCCCCCCCAAAGAAAAGGAAAGGCAGGGGGAGGAATTGGCAGTTGTTTGGGATGCAATGAAATGATGGCTTCCTGATGTCCCCAGAGCAGGCAGAGCCTGGTCTCATCAGGTGCTGCTGCCCACCCAGATAAAGGACTGGATCGCAAACCGTGACTGTGATGTTGGCCCCTGGTTCTCGCACACCCATGCTGGGAGCACTTGGTGCACTGGCAGGTTTGGTGGGTGTGTGGGAAGCCTGGGGACCAGGAGTGAACAGGGAGTAGGAAGAGATAATAGTTTCCTTTAAGAAGAAAGTAAAGGCCTGCTTAGGCAAGCACAGGGACCCCCGACGTTTGATTCCTGACACCACAGGAGCCGGCCGCCAAGACTGGGGGTGGTGGCGCACACCTATAATCCCAGAACTGGGGAGGCTGAGACAGCAAGATCATTACAAGTCTGAGTTGGTAGTGATCACTACTCACTACTAGTGATCCTCCTGTTCTCAGCCTCCGCAGCGCTGGGATTACGGGCATGGCCAGCTCAGTGCACCAGGGGACGGGGCTGGTGCAGTATATGGTGCCGGGGATCGAATCCCCATCTCTGTGTTTGCCTAAGTAGGCACTTAGTCTGCTCAGCTATTCCACCAGCCCCCAAAATAGCCCACCCTTTGAAGAGAGGACAGATGAGGACACAGGGCCCAGGGAAGAGGAGGCACTATTTATGGCTCTGGGGAATCTGGGGAGGAGTTCACAGGGAGTCTGAGAACCAAGCAGTGTCCCCGTGAGCTGCCTTCATGCTCTGGTGTGGGAGTTCAGACCCATTTCCTCTTTCTTGGTAATACACAAAAGAGCCCAGCTGGGGACAGGCTTGAATAGCCCTCAGAGACTGCTACT